CCCGTGCTGTCCACGACTCCACCCCCGTGCGGTCCACGACTCCACCCCGTGCTGTCCACGACTCCACCCCGTGCGGTCCACGACTCCACCCCCGTGCTGTCCACGACTCCACCCCCGTGTGGTCCACGACTCCACCCCCGTGCGGTCCACGACTCCACCCCCGTGTGGTCCACGACTCCACCCCCGTGCGGTCCACTACTCCACCCCCGTGCGGTCCACTACTCCACCTCCGTGCGGTCCACGACTCCACCCCCGTGTGGTCCACGACTCCACCCCCATGCGGTCCACTACTCCACCCCCGTGCGGTCCACGACTCCACCCCGTGTGGTCCACGACTCCACCCCGTGCGGTCCACTACTCCACCCCCGTGCGGTCCACGACTCCACCCCCGTGTGGTCCACGACTCCACCCCCGTGCTGTCCACGACTCCACCCCCGTGCGGTCCACGACTCCACCTCCGTGCGGTCCACGACTCCACCCCCGTGTGGTCCACGCCTCCACCCCCGTGCTGTCCACGCCTCCACCCCCGTGCTGTCCACGACTCCACCCCCGTGTGGTCCACGACTCCACCCCCGTGCGGTCCACTACTCCACCCCCGTGTGGTCCACGACTCCACCCCCGTGTGGTCCACTACTCCACCCCGTGTGGTCCACGACTCCACCCCCGTGCGGTCCACTACTCCACCCCCGTGTGGTCCACGACTCCACCCCCGTGCGGTCCACTACTCCACCCCCGTGTTGTCCACGACTCCACCCCCGTGTGGTCCACTACTCCACCCCCGTGCGGTCCACTACTCCACCCCCGTGTGGTCCACGACTCCACCCCCGTGCTGTCCACGACTCCACCCCCGTGTGGTCCACGACTCCACCCCCGTGCGGTCCACTACTCCACCCCCGTGCTGTCCACGACTCCACCCCCGTGTGGTCCACGACTCCACCCCCGTGCGGTCCACAACTCCACCCCCGTGCTGTCCACGACTCCACCCCCGTGCGGTCCACGACTCCACCTCCGTGCGTTCCACAACTCCACCCCCGTGCGGTCCACGACTCCACCCCGTGCGGTCCACCACTCCACCCCCGTGCGGTCCACGACTCCACCCCCGTGCTGTCCACCACTCCACCCCCGTGGCTGTCCACAACTCCACCCCCGTGCTGTCCACAACTCCACCCCGTGCTGTCCACCACTCCACCCCCGTGCTGTCCACGACTCCACCCTCGTGCGGTCCACCACTCCACCCCCGTGCTGTCCACCACTCCACCCCCGTGCTGTCCACCACTCCACCCCCGTGCGGTCCACCACTCCACCCCCGTGCTGTCCACCACTCCACCCTCGTGCGGTCCACGACTCCACCGCCGTCGTTCAGCCAGCTCCCTTTCACTGTCTCAGTTTAAATAACCACACACACGCGGAGCTGTTGCGAGCGCTGCAATAGATCATTGTAAATCATCGCCACGATGGCGAGGAGATGTTCACTCTCTCGCCTGTGTACAGGAGGTTCTGGGATCTATCCCGACCCTGACGCCTGCTGTATATTTGGAGTTTGCGTGTCTCTCTCCCAGTGATTGCATGAATTTTTCTCCGGGTCCTCCGATTTTCCCCTCCACATTGAGAATCAACATCACGGTGTTTAGAGTTCTTTGGCTACTGCTATACATTTACACACGACGACGACGATGATGATGATGATGATACGCCCACTTCGTTTGAGCTTCCATTCAGTAGCAGCCAGGTCGCTTCTGAACGAGAGCGACGAGCAGCTCAGTGGGGCCTCACCCGGTAAACTAAATTTGTATTTTATATATATATACGTGTGGCGTGAACCGTTAACCGGTTTTTTTCCATTCGGTTACCGGTAACGCAAGAGACCCACACGGACGCGAGCGAGCCGGGCTACTCGTGCGCGTCGCTGTTGGAGTGCGGCCTGCGGAGTTTATTTGGGAGTCGAGTGGAGGAGTTTATTTGAGACTCCGTCACCCGTGATGTTTGGGGTCAAAACTCAGGGAGGGACGGAGGGCGGTGGGGGGGAACGGGGGGGGGGTCTCCCACCATCACCCCTCCCCTGCATCTCGCTTCCCTCTCCACTCCGCTTGCCTCTCCTCACTCCCCACCCGTCTCTCCCCCCCCTGCCCCCCTCTCCCCCTCTGTCTCCCGTGTTATGTGCTGGATGTTTTTTGTTGTGTTAAATACTTGAGGGCGCCGCGGTGGCTAGGAGATGTTAACTACCTCGCCTGGTATACAGGAGGTCGTGGGTTCGATCCCGACCCTGACGCCTGCTGCTGCGTATTTGGATTTTGTGTGTCTCTCTCTCTTCCCGTAGTCGCGTGGATTTTTCTCGGGGTCCTCTCACTGCGCCCTCTCCCCACCCCACGTGCGCTCTCTCTCCCCACGTGCGCCCTCTACTCGTCTCGCAGTGTCTGTGTCGGGATCCGAGTCGGCACCCTCCTGCTCCTTCCTGACCTCTCCACCATCCGCCTGCGAATCCGATCACTCCTCCTCCACCTCCTCCTCCTCCACCTCCTCCTCCACCTCCTCCTCCACCTCCTCCCTCTACCTCCTCCTCCACCTCCTCCTCCACCTCCTCCTCCACCTCCTCCTCTACCTCCTCCACCTCCACCACCTCCTCCTCCTCCACCAGCATCACCACGCGGGAGAAAACCCAACACCGTCGTGAATGTTAACTGTTTTATTATTGTTATAAATCATTGCATTTCGTTATCGTGTGTTTTTTCATACTCCTGAACGTACATGTTCGTTTAGCCCCACAACGACTTCTGTAACCCATAATAGAGAGTTTTTTTTGGGTGAGATCGCGTAAATATATAAATGTGTCGTTAAAACCCACCACCACCCGACACAGCCAACGAGTAAGGGTTGTCACGTAAACAGAACGTGGCCAATTCGTCACTAGTACAGCACTAACCGGTGTGCCGGAGAGCCAAGCCACAACACTGACGTGGCGGGTTTTAACGACACATTCATATACTGACGCGATCTAACCCAAGAAACCTCCATTATAGATGATATTGGTCGCGAAAGCCTCCTACGTGTTAAACTGACTTCTGTAACATCCCCCGCGTGCCCCCCCCCCCACCGACGTCACACGTGACCCCAGAGACTGCTCCTCTGCCCTCCGCTGTTGCTGGAGGGCGACTGCCTCCCACTGCCCAGCAGCAGCGTCCTTCACTCCACCGCATTGCAAACAGCAGCAGAGGCATCATCACCCAGCCGCTATTGTCGGGGTGCTGTGCATTAACCGTATAAGAGGGGGTCATATTCAAATGTTCGATGGATTTAGCGATCGACTGCTGTACCGCCACCTGCAGGCCACCTCGCAGCCCACACCGTGATCGCCCATCCCAGGACTAACCAGGCTCCTTCCAGCTTAGCTTCCGATACCCCTGCGCGGTGATTTACACAGGGGACGCACACACACACACGCGCACACGTGGCAGTCTTGCTCTGGTGTGCCGTGGTGTGACGTGACGCGACGTGGTGTGACGTGGTGTGACGTGGTGTGTGACGTGGTGTGACGTGGTGTGTGACGTGGTGTGTGACGTGGTGTGAGGTGGTGTGAGGTGGTGTGACGTGGTGTGACGTGGTGTGAGGTGGTGTGAGGTGGTGTGACGTGGTGTGAGGTGGTGTGAGGTGATGTGACGTGGCGTGATGTGACGCGACGTGGTGTGACGACGTGTGACGTGGTGTGACGTGGTGTGACGTGGTGTGACGTGGTGTGACGTGATGTGACGTGGCCTGATGTGACGCGACGTGGCGTGATGTGACGTGGTGTGACGTGGTGTGACGCGACGTGGCGTGGTGTGACGTGGTGTGATGCCCTGTGGCGTTGTGTGCCGTGGCTCCAGCTGGCGCTACTTGGGCTTCAGGTAATCGAAGGGCACGAAGCCCTCTTGGCCGCCCAGGCTGACGAGCATCCAGCCGCCCGACGCGTCTCCCAGCGACGCCACCACATCGCCTTGAATCACCGACATCTCCGGCTCCACCTGGGGACGTCGCAGACCCCACAAACATTCCACCAGAGATCCCACTAACATTTCACCAGAGATGCCACAAATATTCCATCCTAGATTCCACAAATGTTCCATCACAGATCCCACAAACATTCTACCAAAGATCCCACAAACGTCCCTTCACAAATCCCACAAACGTTACATCACAGATCCCACAAACATTCTACCACATATTCCACTAACATTCCATCCTAGATTCCACAAACGTTCTATCACAAATCCCACAAACATTCCATCACAGATCCCACGACCTGAACGAGTTCTACTGCAGATTTGAAAGACAATTGGACTGTCCTGAACTACCCCTTCCCACCCAAGAGGCCCCTATCCCACCCCCCACTACAGAGACAACTATCTCCATTCAGGAGGGAGAAGTAAAAAAACTTTTCAAGAGGCAGAACCCACACAAAGCAGCTGGGCCGGACTCTGTCTCTCCAGCCACCCTCAGGCACTGCGCGGACCAGCCGTCTCCAGTGTTCACCAACATCTTTACCACCTCCATGGAGACATGTCATGTACCAGCCTGTCTCAAGTCCTCCATCATCATTCCAGTGCCCAAAAAGCCAAGGCCAACAGGATTAAATGATTACAGACCCATCGCCCTTACCTCCGTGGTAATGAAGTCTTTTGAGCGCCTGGTCCTGGCACACCTCAAAGCCATCACAGACCCTCTACTGGACCCCCTTCAGTTTGCCTACAGAGCCAACAGGTCTGTGGATGACGCAGTTAACATGGCCCTCCACTTCACCCTACAGCATCTGGACTCCACAGCATCCTACGCCAGGATCCTGTTTGTGGACTTTAGCTCGGCTTTTAACACCATCATTCCTAGCCTGCTTCAGGACAAGCTCTCCCTGCTGAACGTGCCAGACTCCACCTGCAGATGGATCACAGACTTCCTGTCTGACAGGAAGCAGTGTGTCAAACTGGGATCACACGTTTCTGCCGCCAGGTCAATCAGCACCGGATCTTCTCAGGGCTGCGTCCTTTCCCCTCTGCTATTCACCCTGTACACCAACAGCTGCACCTCCAGTCACCAGTCCGTCAAACTCTTGAAGTTTGCGGATGACACCACCCTCATTGGGCTCATCTCTGATGGGGATGAGTCTGACTATAGGAGGGAAGCTGACAACCTGGTGACCTGGTGTAGCCAGAACAACCTGGAGCGTAATGCTCTTAAGACCGTGGAGATGGTTGTGGACTTCAGGAAGAATACAGCCCCACTCACCCCCATCACCCTGTGCGACTCCCCAGTCACCAATGTTGAGTCCTTCCGCTTCCTGGGCACTATTCTTTCCCAGGACCTCAAGTGGGAACTGAACATCAGCTCCCTTATCAAGAGAGCTCAACAGAGAATGTACTTCCTAAGGCAGCTGAAGAAATTTAATCTGCCAAAGACAATGATGGTGTGCTTCTATACAGCCATCATTGAGTCCATCCTCACCTCCTCCATCACCGTCTGGTACGCTGCTGCAACTGCCAAGGACAAGAGCAGACTGCAGCGTATCATCCGCACTGCTGAGAAGGTGATTGGCTGTAATCTACCAACCCTTGAGGACCTGCACACTTTGAGGACCCTGAGGCGAGCGAGGAAGATTGCGGACGATTCCTCGCACCCTGGATACTCTCTGTTCCAGATACTCCCCTCCGGCAGAAGGCTGCGGTCCATCAAGACCAAAACCTCACGTCACAAAAACTGTTTTTTTCCCATCTGCTGTTGGCCTCCTCAACAAGGCCAAGGGCTTAAAATGATTTTTACACTTAAAATGACTGTTACACTTACTATAACATTTTATCTACATAATTACACCTTTCCATACTTACAACGTGTACTCTTATTTGTATTTTTGTATTTTAAGATTGTTTAATGCGGCTTATTAACATTTTACATTTCGCATTTTATAAGGTCTACTTATTCATAATTTTAAAGATTTTAGCCCTTTAGTATTACTTATACTTTGTAACGTTAGTATAGTTAGAGTGTATACCTTTTATATAAGTTATAATTCCTACTTGTTCAATGTATGCACCGTCCCGTCATAGTGAATTCCTTGTTTGTGCAAACTTACATGGCGATTAAAACCGTTTCTGATTCTGATTCTGACATCACAAATCCCACAAACATTCCATCACAGACCCCACAAACATTCCACCACAGACCCCACAAACACAGATCCCACAAACGTTCCATCACAGATCCTACAAACGTTCCCAGGGGAGCAGCAACAGTTTCCCAGCGCTCTCTACTGCTGCTTCTTCTCCTGTCTTGCCAATAGGGGGGCGGGGGGGGGGGGCTATGATGGCTGCTACGTGGTCTCGCCGAGGGGACCCCCAAGTGCCCCTTTCCAGCACAAGGCGAGTCCGCGGCACGTGGCCAGCGAGCGGGCGTCGGCCTGCCAGGAGGGGGGAGGGGGGCGATGATCCCATTACCCACCCACCGAGTGGCCGTGCGGTACCGCGAGGCCGGCACATAGTGGACTACCAGCCGCCATGGTGGCGAGGAGATGTTGACTACCTCGCCTGGTGTACAGGAGGTCGTGGGTTCGATCCCAACCCTGACGCCTGCTGTATATTTGGAGGTTGCAGCTCTCTCATCATCATCATCACAGTGGTTAGGAGATGTTAACTACCTTGCCTGGTATACATGAGGTTGTGGGTTTGATTACGAAACCTGATGCCAGTTGTATATTTGGAGTTTGCATGTCTCTCTCTCCCAGTGGTCGCGTGGGTTTTTCTCCGGGTCCTCTGGGTTTTCCCCGACACATTAAGAATCAACATCACGCCTTGAGAGTATGTGGCTGATGCTCTCAATAATCAGCCACTTCATTGGGATGCCAATTGTGATGGCCAGGTCACTTCTGAAAAAGAGCTACAGAGCTCAAGGGCCTTACCTGGTTAAATAAAAATAGTTAATTATAATTAGTTAAGAGTTTAACACGTGGTAGGCTTTCGCGACCAATATCATCCATTACACAGGTTGTTTTTTGGGTTTGATCGAGTAAATATAAATATGTCGTTAAACCCGCCACCACCCGACACAGCCAATTATTAAGGTTTGTCACGTAAACAGAACGTGCCAATTAGTTACAAGTACAGCACCATCGTGAGAGTGGTGGGAGTGGTGGGAGCGGTGGGAGTGGTGGCAAGGGCAGGCACTGTGGGCGATGGTCGAGACCAGCGAAGGAGCGGCAGCCAAGGCAGGGAGCGCTTGGAGTGAGTTTCGGGCCGACGCCACGCGGCAAGCCGCCCGTCGCCACGCGGGGGGGTGGGGGGGGCAGAGCGAGGGCGGCGCCGCGTGGCCCTCGGAGCATGTGGGGTGGGGGGTGCCACGGCGCCGCGGTGGGCACGACGGCTGCCGCCAGTTCGGTTCCCCAATCTTCTCGCGCCACTCGTCCGTGAGCTCATCTCTGTCGCAAAAAAAATCCGCCCCCCCCGACCCCGCGCAGCTTCCACGTCCACGTCCACCCCCCGCTGCTCCTGACGCGCTGAGCCGCGACTTCACCGCCTCGATGTCACGTCGCGCCCGTCGCTCTGCGCCCACGTGGCACCGCTCCTGCTGCCGCCACCACTGCCTCGGCTGCGTTTCTTTTGCAGTTTTTGCTTCTGCTTTTGTGGACCGCCACTGTGGCTAGAAGATTTTGACTCACTCGCCTGGTACGCAGGCAACGGGGAGGTAACCACTCCGTCCCCCACCGTGCCCACCACTCCCACCGTGGCGCCTGAGCCCCATGTCCTGGCGTTCTACGATCCTGTGATGTCTTGTGACACGGGCACTAAAAACTAACTCTTAACTAACGATGCTTAGCAGCAGACACCAACAGCACCTCCACCACCACCACCAACAACAACCGCCATTTGCCACGAAGTGGCGGTGACGTCACCACGACGCTTGTGCCAGGCTATGTGCACCTTGAGGCCAGGTGAAGTATTGAACGCCCGCTGGCAGGAGGTCACGGGGCAGACCCAGGTGCCACAGGTCGACTGACTGAAATGAGTGGCTGATGCACCTCCTGTGCCCCTTACTGTACCAACTTGCTGTGCTTTATCCACCGGGCGCTCCGCTGGTTGTTGTGAGCATCGCTCCTCCGCCCTCCGTTGTTGTTGGAGGGCGACTGCCTCCAACTGCCCAGTAGCGTCCTTCACGAGCCTCCTCCACAGAGGCCGATCTTGACACCGCTGGTACCGGTCATCGGCAAGTCCACTCAGCTCCACGTCCTCCTGTACCACATCACTCCATCTCTTCTCTAGCCCGTGCCACGCCCATTTAGCCCCCTCGATCCGGTCAAACAAAAGCTGTTTCGGCATGCGGTGGCTGGGCATGCGGGCTACATGGCCCAGCCAACACAGTCTTGCCTGCCGGAGGTGCTCACTGATGGGACTTTGTCCAGATCTTTCGAGGATTCGTGAGCTCCTCACACAATCCAGCCTGGTTAACCCCAGGATTGATCGTAGGCAGGCCAGCCTAAATATTTCTAACCGGCGATGATGTTCAATTAGGGGGGTCCACGTTTTCGCAAGCGTAGAGAAGGGAGGGAATAACTGTGGCCGAGAAGACCCGAAGCTTCGTGTGGAGCGAAAGACCAGGTAGCTTCCACACAGTGTCACGCAACCGATGAAAAGATAATGCCGCTCGACTGATTCGGAGTGAGACCTCTATTGTTAAACCGGAGCCGGTCATGAGCAAACTGCCCAGGTATGGGAAACTCTCCACTCTCTCAACAACTGCCCCATCACCGATTGGGAGTTGTGGGGGTAGAGTGCCCGATAGTATAAAATACCCAGGCAGGTGCTTCGTTTTGGTCGGACTGATGGTAAGTCCCCACCTCTTAGTGGCACACTCCAGTTTCAGCAGCAGCACCTCCAACTCCTCTTCTGAGCTGCAATTACCAGATCGTCAGCATACATAACGTGGTTGACCAATAGGGAGCCATCCCTTGACCGCACCCGGGCATCGATCAGCCTCCCATTGTATCTGTACCAAATGGAAATTCCTTCGGTACAGCTACTAAAGGCTTCACGAACTACGCGGTCGAAATAGATGTTAAATAATGTGGGAGCCAGAGGACATCCCTGTCGCACCCCAAGGTGTACAGGAAATGGCTCTGACTCCCGGCCACGTAGTTTTACCCGGGCCTGCTCACCATCATGAAGGTCCTTAATGAGCGTGAGCAGGTGGTCAGGGACTCTGAAAGCACGAAGAACAACCCAGAGCCCAGGCCTACTGATGGTATCATAGGCCTTGACCAGGTCAATAAAGCAGAGATGTAGGTCTTGTTGGAATTCCCTACACCTCTGCTGTAGCAGACGGACAAAAAATATGGCATCTGTGCAGGACCGCCCTTTCCTGAAACTGCATTGGGGCTCCGCAAGCCTCTCGCAAGCCAGCACCACCACTACCAGCACCACCAGCACCACCACAACCACCAGCACCACAACCAGCACCACCACTACCACCAGCACCACCACCACCACTAGCACCAACAGCAGCACCACCACCAGCACCACCACCAGCACCACCACCAGCACCACCACCACCACTAGCACCAACAGCAGCACCAGCAGCACCACCACCACCACTACCACCAGCACCACCACCACCAGCACCACCACCAGCACCACCACCAGCACCACTAGCACCAACAGCAGCACCACCACCAGCACCACCACCAACAATCGCCACTCATTGGCATCGGCGACGACGACGCCAACGGTTGGGAAGCCGGACGTAAAGCCGGACGTCAAGCGTGACGTCCGGCTTGACGTCGCCGTGACGTCAAGCGTGACGTCGGCGTGACGTCACGTCAAGTGTGAGGTCGTGGCGTGAGGTCGTTGCGAGGTACCCGCGAGGTGAAGTCGTGCGTCACCACGTAGAGCTCGCTGGCGCAGGGGCTCTGGCGGCGCGCACGCGGCCCGGCCCTGGGCGGCGCCGCGGGCGCCACGGCCACCGCCCGCTCGGGCCCCACGGTGGCGTAGAGGGCCGTGTCTGGGGGGGGGGGGGGGGGGCAGCGAGAGGTCGAGAGGTCGGGAGGTCGGAGCCACTGACGGGGGTGGGGCGTGCGGGGGGGCTGGCGAGAGGGGGTGGGGCGTAGGGTGGGGGTGCTGGCGAGAGGGGGGGTGGGGTCAGAGGTAGCGCCGGTAATTGTTGCCACGTTGAGCGCTCGCTAACGAGCCGCTCGGAGTCGCCGCGCCGAATCAACGTCAACCTCAGTAGCGGAGGGGGGGGGGATTGTATTTGTCTCCATCTTCTCTCTGTTTCTTTCTTCTTGCCAACAACAACAAACAACAACAACAACAAATCGTGCGGCCGCTCGCCCGCTGATGGGACGTGGCGGGGCGCCTCGACAGCTGTTTTGGGCTCTCGACAAAATCGCCGTGGCGGTGATGACGATGATGGCGATGATGACGGTGATGGCATCGTTATCATGATGATTACATCGTTATCATGATGATTACATCGTTACCATAATGATCGTGATGGCATCGTTATTATGATGGTGATGGCATCGTCATCATGATGACGACGTCGTTATCATGATGACGACGTCGTTATCATGATAACGACGTCGTCAAAGGGGTGGACAACTCCCCCTGCCTCTCCCCCCCCCACCACAGATGCTGGGGCCCAACTCCTCGACGCTCGCAGCTGCAGCAGGAGGAGGAGGAGCAGCAGCAGGAGGAGGAGGAGCAGCAGGAGCAGCAGCAGCAGGAGCAGCAGCAGCAGGAGCAGCAGCAGCAGGAGCAGGAGGAGCAGCAGCAGCAGAAGGAGGAGCAGCAGCAGCAGCTGCAGCAGGAGCAGCAGCAGCAGCAGCAGCAGCTGCAGCAGCAGCAGGAGGAGCAGCAGCAGCAGCAGCAGGAGGAGCAGCAGCAGCAGCAGCAGCAGCAGGAGGGGGAGGTGCGAGTCCCCTGCACTCCGCCACGAGGCGGGACCCAGTCGTGAGCCGCCGCCGCCGGGGAGATGGAATCGAAGGCGGAGAAGCTCGCGGGTCGCGAGTCACAGCCGTGGCGTCGTCACCACTGTGACGTCATCACCACTGTGACGTCATCACCGCTGTGACGTCATCACCGCCCAGGCGTCGTCACCACCGTGACGTCGTCACCACTGTGACGGCATCACCACTGTGACGTCATCACCGCTGTGACGTCATCACCACTGAGGCGTCATCACCACCGTGACGTCATCACCACCGTGACGTCATCACCACTGTGACGTCATCACCACTGTGGCGTCATCACCACTGAGGCGTCATCACCACCGTGACGTCATCACCACCGTGACGTCATCACCACTGTGACGTCATCACCACTGTGACGTCATCACCGCTGTGACGTCATCACCGCCCAGGCGTCGTCACCACCGTGACGTCGTCACCACTGTGACGTCATCACCACTGTGACGTCATCACCGCTGTGACGTCATCACCACTGTGGCGTCATCACCACCGTGACGTCATCACCACCGTGACGTCATCACCACCGTGACGTCATCACCACTGTGACGTCATCACCACTGTGACGTCATCACCGCTGTGACGTCATCACCGCCCAGGCGTCGCCACCACCGTGACGTCGTCACCACTGTGACGTCATCACCACTGTGACGTCATCACCGCTGTGACGTCATAACCACTGAGGCGTCATCACCACCGTGACGTCATCACCACCGTGACGTCATCACCACTGTGACGTCATCACCACTGTGGCGTCATCACCACTGAGGCGTCATCACCACTGAGGCGTCGTCATCTCCCACTGTGACGTCATCACCACTATGACGTCATAACCACCGTGACGTCATCACCACTGTGGCGTCATCACCGCGGCTGTTTCCATAATGTGGCGTTCTTCTGGAACGCGAACGCTCCTCTCGCGTGAGAGCAGGGCGAGGCTGCGAGTGTGGAGCCCTCGTGCTCTACGATGTGGTGGAGCCCTCGTGCTCTACGATGTGGTGGAGCCCTCGTGCTCTACGATGTGGTGGAGCCCTCGTGCTCTACGATGTGGTGGAGCCCTCGTGCTCTACGATGTGGTGGAGCCCTCGTGCTCTACGATGTGGTGGAGCCCTCGTGCTCTACGATGTGGTAGGGCCCTCGTGATCTACGATGTGGTGGAGCCCTCGTGATCTACGATGTGGTGGAGCCCTCGTGATCTACGATGTGGTGGGGCCCTCGTGCTCTACGATGTGGTGGAGCCCTCGTGCTCTACGATGTGGTGGAGCCCTCGTGATCTACGATGTGGTGGAGCCCTCATACTCTACGATGTGGCCGCGGTGACGGAATTAGCTCGCGCCTTGGAGTTGTTGACCTGTCGGCCAAAGTCTCGCGCGTTATGAATGTCATGAAAGTGATTCTTGTCGTCGTCGTTGTCGTCATACAAATCCGGCGAACGCAGAGCCGCGTGCCGAGGCCAACGGCGATCGGCTCGTGGTGAGCGGTGGCCACGCGAGTGGGTGAGTGGTGAGCGGTGAGCGGTGGCCACGCGAGTGGGGCAGCGGTGAGCGGTGAGCGGTGGCAACGCGAGTGGGGCAGCGGCGATAGTCCAGCAGTGGAGAGACCACGGCACGTGCTCAGAGCCGCAAGGGTTTCTCACCGAGAGACAGAGGGGGCTCGTCCTTGGGCACGTGGTGAAGCCTGGGAAATCACAGAGAGCCATTGCCACCATCATCGTCGTCGTCGTCATCACCATCGTCATCATCGTCGTCGCCACCATCATCATCATCGTCGTCGTCGTCATCACAATCGTCGTCGTCATCAACATCGTCATCAAAATCACCAACATCGTCATCATCGTCATTCTCGCCACCATCATTATCAGCGTCAGCATCATTGTCACCATCATCATCACCATCATCATCAGCATCACCATCACTGTCACCATCATCATTACCGTCACCGTCGTCACCAAACGACTATGATGTTGATGCTGCAGCAGCAGCTATTAGGTAAGATGATGATGAAGATAACGATGATGAATATGATTTTGCTAATTATTAAAATGATAATGATATGATGACAATAATAACCAGAATGCTAACGATGTTAACGAGGATGACAATGCTTTGTTGCACAGACACAGCCTGTGGTCGTTTCAGGGTAGGGGCGATGTTCATGGCGATAGTGATGATGATGATTATGGTGACAGTGATGGCGATGGTGACAGTGATGGTGATGATGATGGTAATGGTGATGGCTATAATGATGGTGATGACGATGGTGATGACGATGGCGATGATGGTGATGATGATGGTAATGGTGATGGCTATAATGATGGTGATGATGATGGTAATGGTGATGGCTATAATGATGGTGATGATGATGGTGACGGTGATGACAGCGATGGTGATGATGGTGATGATGATGGTAATGGTGATGGCTATAATAATGGTGATCACGGTGATGACAATGGTGCTGACGATGGCAATGATGGTGATGATGATGGTGATGACGATAGTGACGATGATGGCAATGGTGATCACGTTTGTAATGGTGACGGTGATCGTGATGACAACGGTGATGGTGATGATGGTGATGATGGTGATGATGGCGATGGTGACGGCGACGGCGATGATGCTGATGAGTGGCTGTTGGGGCGAGGCCTCACGGGGGCTTCCTGGCGGCGTTGCTCTGCAAGCCGGCGCAGGTCGTCAGCATCAAGGTGGAGCCCTCGTACACAAACGGATCTGGGGACACATCGACATGGGGTCACGGGGGTCACAGAGGTCACGGGGGGCACGGGGGTCACAGAGGTCACGGGGGTCACTGGGTTATAGGAGTCACGGGGGCATGGGGTCATGGGGAGCACGGGGGTCGAAGGGGGCACGAGGGTCATCGCCAACGAGGTGGCCGGGCAGCTCGTCGTTGCGGAGCCGCTGAGATCCTGGGCTCCACTCCGGGTTCAACCCCAACCACTGCCGCGTTCTCAGAGCCATAGACTCACCACACAGAGAGACATATACTCACCACACAGAAACCCATAGACTCACCACACATAGACCCATAGACTCACACAGAGACCCATAGATTCACGTAGAGATCCATAGACTCACACAGAGACCCATAGACTCACACAGAGACCCACAGACTCACACAGAGACCCACAGACTCACACAGAGACCCATAGACTCACACAGAGACCCAGACCCACAGACTCACATAGAGACCCATAGACTCACACAGAGACCCATAGACTCATACAGAAACCCACAGACTCACACAGAGACCCATTTGAGTCACACAGAGACCCATAAACTCATCAGCTCTCGAGACGACACCATTATAGGGATCGGCTCTTGAGACGCAGGACACGTGACTCCGTGGCAGGGCGCGTGGGGAAGCGATGCCCTCTGGTGGTGGAGAGCAGAGGTCACGTGATGGAGATTGGCAGCTCCGAGGTAGTTCTGTGATATGAACTATAAACTAAGCTGGTTTAACACGTTGTAGTAGTCGTTGGACTCCTCGACTTACGAATATTCTACTTACGAACTTTCAGAGATACGAACAAACCAGTGCGTATGTCCAGTTGCCTATTCGGACCGAGAGTCGTAAGTTCAACCGCCACGCAATAGATGGTGGTGGTGGCATCTACATCTGTAGAACATGAAGATGAAGAAGTGGCATCTACATCTGTAGAACGTGAAGAACCAGTGGCATCTACATCTGTAGAACATGAAGAACCAGTGGCATCTACATCTGTAGAACATAAAGATGAAGAAGTGGCATCTACATCTGTAGAACGTGAAGAACCAGTGGCATCTACATCTGTAGAACATGAAGAACCAGTGGCATCTACATCTGTAGAACATGAAGAACCAGTGGCATCTACATCTGTAGAACGTGAAGAACCAGTGGCATCTACATCTGTAGAACATGAAGAACCAGTGGCATCTACATCTGTAGAACATGAAGAACCAGTGGCATCTACATCTGTAGAACGTGAAGAACCAGTGGCATCTACATCTGCAGAATGTGAAGAACCAGTGGCATCTACATCTGTAGAACATGAAGAACCAGTGGCATCTACATCTGTAGAACGTGAAGAACCAGTGGCATCTACATCTGTAGAACATGAAGAACCAGTGGCATCTATATCTGCAGAATGTGAAAAACCAGTGGCATCTACATCTGCAGAACGTGAAGAACCAGTGGCATCTACATCTGCAGAACGTGAAGAACCAGTGGCATCTACATCTGCAGAACGTGAAGAATCAGTGGCATCTACATCTATAGAACGTGAAGAACCAGTGGCATCTACATCTGAAGAACGTGAAGAATCAGTGACATCTACATCTGCAGAACGTGAAGAATCAGTGGCATCTACATCTATAGAATGTGAAGAACCAGTGGAATTTACATCTGTAGAACGTGAAGAACCAATGGCATCTACATCTGCAGAACATGAAGAACCAGTAGCATCTACATCTGCAGAACATGAAGAACCAGTGGCATCTACATCTACAGAACATGAAGAACCAGTGGCATCTACATCTGCAGAATGTGAAGAACCAGTGGCATCTATAGCTGCATAACATGAAGAACCAGTGGCATCCACATCTGCAGAACATGAAGAACCAGTGGCATCTACATCTGCAGAATGTGAAGAACCAGTGGCATCTACATCTGTATAACGTGAAGAACCAGTGGCATCTACATCTGCAAAACATGAAGAACCAGTGGCATCTACAGAACGTGAAGAACCAGTGGCATCTACATCTGCAGAACATGAAGAACCAGTGGTATCTACATCTACAGAACGTGAAGAACCAGTGGCTTCTACATCTACAGAACATGAAGAACCAGTGGCATCTACATCTGCAGAACATGAAGAACCAGTGGTATCTACATCTGCAGAACGTGAAGAACCAGTGGCATCTACATCTGCAGAACGTGAAGAACCAGTGACATCTACATCTACAGAACGTGAAGAACCAGTGGCATCAACATCTGCAGAACGTGAAGAACCAGTGACATCTACATCTGAAGAACGTGAAGAATCAGTGACATCTACATCTGCAGAACGTGAAGAATCAGTGGCATCTACATCTATAGAATGTGAAGAACCAGTGGAATTTACATCTGTAGAACGTGAACAACCAATGGCATCTACATCTGCAGAACATGAAGAACCAGTAGCATCTACATCTGCAGAACATGAAGAACCAGTGGCATCTACATCTACAGAACATGAAGAACCAGTGGCATCTACATCTGCAGAATGTGAAGAACCAGTGGCATCTATAGCTGCATAACATGAAGAACCAGTGGCATCCACATCTGCAGGACATGAAGAACCAGTGGCATCTACAGAACGTGAAGAACCAGTGACATCTACATCTACAGAACGTGAAGAACCAGTGGCATCAACATCTGCAGAACGTGAAGAACCAGTGACATCTACATCTGCTGAACGTGAAGAACCAGTGACATCTACATCTGCAGAACATGAAGAACCAGTGGTATCTACATCTGCAGAACGTGAAGAACCAGTGGCATCTACATCTGCAGAACGTGAAGAACCAGTGACATCTACATCTACAGAACGTGAAGAACCAGTGGCATCAACATCTGCAGAACGTGAAGAACCAGTGACATCTACATCTGCTGAACGTGAAGAACCAGTGACATCTACATCTGCAGAACATGAAGAACCAGTGGTATCTACATCTGCAGAACGTGAAGAACCAGTGGCATCTACATCTGCAGAACGTGAAGAACCAGTGACATCTACATCTACAGAACGTGAAGAACCAGTGGCATCAACATCTGCAGAACGTGAAGAACCAGTGGCTTCTACATCTACAGAACATGAAGAACCAGTGGCATCTACATCTGCAGAACATGAAGAACCAGTGGTATCTACATCTGCAGAACGTGAAGAACCAGTGGCATCTACATCTGCTGAACGTGAAGAACCAGTGGCATCTAAATCTGCAGAACATGATGAACCAGTGACATCTACATCTGCTGAACGTGAAGAACCAGTGGCATCTACATCTGTAGAACGGGAAGAACCAGTGGCATCTACATCTACAGAACGTGAAGAACCAGTGGCATCTACATCTGCAGAACGTGAAAAACCAGTGGCATCTACATCTGCAAAACGTGAAGAACCAGTGACATCTACATCTGCAGAACGTGAAAAACCAGTGGCATCTACATCTGCAGAACGTGAAGAACCAGTGGCATCTACATCTACAGAACGTGAAGAACCAGTGGCATCAACATCTGCAGAACGTGAAGAACCAGTGACATCTACATCTGCTGAACGTGAAGAACCAGTGACATCTACATCTGCAGAACATGAAGAACCAGTGGTATCTACATCTGCAGAACGTGAAGAACCAGTGGCATCTACATCTGCAGAACGTGAAGAACCAGTGACATCTACATCTACAGAACGTGAAGAACCAGTGGCATCAACATCTGCAGAACGTGAAGAACCAGTGGCTTCTACATCTACAGAACATGAAGAACCAGTGGCATCTACATCTGCAGAGCATGAAGAGCCAGTGGTATCTGCATCTGCAGAACGTGAAGAACCAGTGGCATCTACATCTGCAGAACGTGAAGAACCAGTGACATCTACATCTACAGAACGTGAAGAACCAGTGGCATCAACATCTGCAGAACGTGAAGAACCAGTGACATCTACATCTGCTGAACGTGAAGAACCAGTGGCATCTACATCTGCAGAACATGATGAACCAGTGACATCTACATCTGCTGAACGTGAAGAACCAGTGGCATCTACATCTGTAGAACGGGAAGAACCAGTGGCATCTACATCTACAGAACGTGAAGAACCAGTGGCATCTACATCTGCAGAACGTGAAAAACCAGTGGCATCTACATCTGCAAAACGTGAAGAACCAGTGACATCTACATCTGCAGAACGTGAAAAACCAGTGGCATCTACATCTGCAGAACGTGAAGAACCAGTGGCATCTACATCTACAGAACGTGAAGAACCAGTGGCATCTACATCTGCAGAACATGATGAACCAGTGGCATCTACATCTGCAGAACGTGAAGAACCAGTGGCATCTACATCTGCAAAACATGATGAACCAGTGACATCTACATCTGCAGAACATGATGAACCAGTGGCATCTACATATACAGAACGTGAAGAACCAGTGGCATCTACATCTGCAGAACATGATGAACCAGTCACATCTACATCTGCAGAACGTGAAGAACCAGTGACATCTACATCTGCAGAACGTGAAGAACCAGTGACATCTACATCTGCAGAACATGATGAACCAGTGACATCTACATCTGCAGAACGTGAAGAACCAGTGGCATCTACATCTACAGAACGTGAAGAACCAGTGGCATCTACATCTGCAGAACGTGATGAACCAGTGGCATCTACATCTGCAGAATATGAAGAACCAGTGGCATCTACATCTGCAGAACGTGAAGAACCAGTGGCATCTACATCTGCAGAACATGAAGAACCAGTGGCATCTACATCTGCAGAACGTGAAAAACCAGTGGCATCTACATCTGCAGAACGTGAAGAACCAGTGACATCTACATCTACAGAACGTGAAGAACCAGTGGCATCAACATCTGCAGAACGTGAAGAACCAGTGGCTTCTACATCTACAGAACATGAAGAACCAGTGGCATCTACATCTGCAGAGCATGAAGAGCCAGTGGTATCTACATCTGCAGAACGTGAAGAACCAGTGGCATCTACATCTGCAGAACGTGAAGAACCAGTGACATCTACATCTACAGAACGTGAAGAACCAGTGGCATCAACATCTGCAGAACGTGAAGAACCAGTGACATCTACATCTGCTGAACGTGAAGAACCAGTGGCATCTACATCTGCAGAACATGATGAACCAGTGACATCTACATCTGCTGAACGTGAAGAACCAGTGGCATCTACATCTGTAGAACGGGAAGAACCAGTGGCATCTACATCTACAGAACGTGAAGAACCAGTGGCATCTACATCTGCAGAACGTGAAAAACCAGTGGCATCTACATCTGCAAAACGTGAAGAACCAGTGACATCTACATCTGCAGAACGTGAAAAACCAGTGGCATCTACATCTGCAGAACGTGAAGAACCAGTGGCATCTACATCTACAGAACGTGAAGAACCAGTGGCATCTACATCTGCAGAACATGATGAACCAGTGGCATCTACATCTGCAGAACGTGAAGAACCAGTGGCATCTACATCTGCAAAACATGATGAACCAGTGACATCTACATCTGCAGAACATGATGAACCAGTGGCATCTACATATACAGAACGTGAAGAACCAGTGGCATCTACATCTGCAGAACATGATGAACCAGTCACATCTACATCTGCAGAACGTGAAGAACCAGTGACATCTACATCTGCAGAACGTGAAGAACCAGTGACATCTACATCTGCAGAACATGATGAACCAGTGACATCTACATCTGCAGAACGTGAAGAACCAGTCGCATCTACATCTACAGAACGTGAAGAACCAGTGGCATCTACATCTGCAGAACGTGATGAACCAGTGGCATCTACATCTGCAGAATATGAAGAACCAGTGGCATCTACATCTGCAGAACGTGAAGAACCAGTGGCATCTACATCTGCAGAACATGAAGAACCAGTGGCATCTACATCTGCAGAACGTGAAAAACCAGTGGCATCTACATCTGCAGAACGTGAAGAACCAGTGACATCTACATCTACAGAACGTGAAGAACCATTGTCATCTACATCTACAGAACGTGAAGAACCAGTGGCATCTACATCTGCAGAACGTGAAAAACCAATGGCATCTACATCTGCAAAACGTGAAGAACCAGTGACATCTACATCTGCAGAACGTGAAAAACCAGTGGCATCTACATCTGCAGAACGTGAAGACCAGTGGCATCTACATCTACAGAACGTGAAGAACCAGTGGCATCTACATCTGCAGAACATGATGAACCAGTGGCATCTACATCTGCAGAACGTGAAGAACCAGTGGTATCTACATCTGCAGAACGTGAAGAACCAGTGGCATCTACATCTGCATAACGTGAAGAACCAGTGGCATCTACATCTACAGGAGATTATATAACGTGTAAAGCCACTCCCCGTGTTTAGTGTACACGCCGTACGACATGTTTGTAATTGACGGGAGTAAAGTTGGACGTACGAACAAATGGAGGCAGCAGAGGGCAGTGCTGTAAGTACACTGCTGCTGCTGATGTGATGGTGAAAATGACGCAGCTGAGAGGGTGTTTGGCCTACTCTGCCATGTTGGCCAGTAGACTTTCCCCCACTACCACGTGCAACCTGCCCAATCGACGACTTTGCTGATACGGATCGTACTGAACGCTCCGTCTTCATGTGGGTCGAACGGAGGAGATTGGTAGACGTGGATCGTACTGAACGCTCCGTCTCCGCGTGTGCCGTACCAGGCTTGCGCTCCCCGGTCTGCTTGCTCTTCACGAAGCAGTTGATGTCTTCCTGGACGTCGCTCTTCTCCAGCGACAGCCGCACTTCTTCGTACGCCTACAACCACAACAACAACAACAATCACCACAACCACCCAAACAACAACCAGCTCAACTACAACAACCACAACAACCATGACCACAACAAAAACAACCACCATGATCACAACAACCACCAAAACCACACCAACAACCACCACAACCAAAACCCACCACCACAACAACCACCATGACCATAGCAACAACATCACAACCACAACAACCACAACTACCACAACAACCGTAACAACCACCATGACCACAACAACCACAACAAACACCACAACCACGATGACCACAACAACAACCACCATGACCTCAACAACCGTATCCACAATAACCACAACAAACACATCACTTGCATAAACAACAACAACCACCCCAATACGAAGACAACCACAGTCACAGCTACATCAACCACGACCATGGGTGAGCGTGGGTGAGCGTGGTGATGGAGGTGAGAGTGGTGAGGGAGGGTGAGCGTGGTGAGGGAGGGTGAGCGTGGTGAGGGAGGGTGAGCGTGGTGAGGGTGGGTGAGCGTGGTGAGGGTGGGTGAGCGTGGTGAGGGGGGTGAGCGTGGTGATGGAGGGTGAGCGTGGTGAGGGAGGGTGAGGGTGGTGAGGGAGGGTGAACGTGGTGAGGGAGGGTGAGCGTGGTGAGGGTGGGTGAGCGTGGTGAGGGAGGGTGAGCGTGGTGAGGGTGGGTGAGCGTGGTGAGCGAGGGTGAGGGTGGGTGAGCGTGGTGAGGGTGGGTGAGCGTGGTGAGGGTGGGTGAGCGTGGTGAGGGTGGTGAGCGTGGTGAGGGTGGGTGAGCGTGGTGAGCGTGGTGAGGGTGGGTGAGCGAGGGTGGGCGTGGTAAGGGAGGGTGAGCGTGGTGAGGGTGGGTGAGCGTGGTGAGGGAGGGTGAGCGTGGTGAGGGAGGGTGAGCGTGGTGAGGGTGGGTGAGCGTGGTGAGGGAGGGTGAGCGTGGTGATGGAGGGTGAGCGTGGTGAGGGTGGGTGAGCGTGGTGAGGGAGGGTGAGCGTGGTGAGGGAGGGTGAGCGTGGTGATGGTGGGTGAGCGTGGTGAGGCAGGGGTGAGCGTGTTGAGGGTGGGTGAGCGTGGTGAGGGAGGGTGAGCGTGGTGAGGGTGGGTGAGCGTGGTGAGCGAGGGTGAGGGTGGGTGAGCGTGGTGAGGGTGGGTGAGCGTGGTGAGGGTGGGTGAGCGTGGTGAGGGTGGGTGAGCGTGGTGAGCGTGGTGAGGGTGGGGTGAGCGTGGTGAGGGTGGGTGAGCGTGGTGAGGGTGGGTGACCGTGGTGAGCGTGGTGAGGGTGGGTGAGCGAGGGTGAGCGTGGTGAGGGTGGGTGAGCGTGGTGAGGGAGGGTGAGCGTGGTTGAGGGAGGGTGAGCGTGGTGAGGGTGGTGAGCGTGGTGAGGGAGGGTGAGCGTGGTGATGGAGGGTGAGCGTGGTGAGGGATGGTGAGCGTGGTGAGGGATGGTGAGCGTGGTGAGGGAGGGTGAGCGTGGTGAGGGTGGGTGAGCGTGGTGAGGCAGGGTGAGCGTGGTGATGGTGGGTGAGCGTGGTGAGGGTGGGTGAGGGTGGTGAGGCAGGGTGAGCGTGGTGAGGGTGGGTGAGCGTGGTGAGGGTGGGTGAGGGTGGTGAGGGTGGTGAGGGTGGGTGAGCGTGGTGAGGGTGGGTGAGGGTGGGTGAGGGTGGTGAGCGTGGTGAGGGTGAGCGTGGTGAGGGAGGGTGAGGGAGGGTGAGCGTGGTGAGGGAGGGTGAGCGTGGTGAGGGTGGGTGAGCGTGGTGAGGGAGGGTGAGCGTGGTGAGGAGGGTGAGGTGTAGAGGGTGAGGGTGGGTGAGCGTGGTGAGGGAGGGTGAGCGTGGTGAGGTGGTGAGCGTGGTGAGGTGGGGTGAGCGTGGTGAGGGTGGTGAGCGTGGTGATGGAGGGTGAGCGTGGTGAGGGAGGGTGAGGTGGTGAGGGAGGGTGAACGTGGTGGGGGGGTGAGCGTGGTGGGGTGGGTGAGCGTGGTGAGGGAGGGTGAGCGTGGTGAGGGTGGGTGAGCGTGTGAGCGAGGGTGAGGGTGGGTGAGCGTGGTGAGGGTGGGTGAGCGTGTGAGGGGTAGGTGTGATGGTGGGTGAGCGTGGTGAGCGTGGTGAGGGTGGTGAGCGTGGTGAGCGTGGTGAGGGTGGGTGAGCGAGGGTGGGCCGTGGTGAGGGAGGGTGAGTGTGGTGAGGGTGGGTGAGCGTGGTGAGGGTGGGTGAGCGTGGTGAGGGAGGGTGAGCGTGGTGAGGGTGGGTGAGCGTGGTGAGGGAGGGTGAGCGTGGTGAGGGATGGTGAGCGTGGTGAGGGAGGTGTGAGCGTGGTGAGAGAGGGGAGCGTGGTGAGGGTGGGTGAGCGTGGTGAGGCAGGTGAGCGTGGTGATGGTGGGTGAGCGTGGTGAGGGTGGGTGAGGGTGGTGAGGCAGGGTGAGCGTGGTGAGGGTGGGTGAGCGTGGTGAGGGTGGGTGAGGTGGTGAGGGTGGTGAGGGGGGTGAGCGTGTGAGGGTGGGTAAGGGTGGGTGAGGGTGGTGAGCGTGGTGAGGGTGGGTGAAACGTGGTGAGGGTGGGTGAGCGTGGTGAGGGAAGGTGATGGAGGGTGAGCGTGGTGAGGGAGGGTGAGGGTGGTGAGGGGGGGTGAGGGTGGGTGAGCGTGGTGAGGTTGGGTGAGCGGAGGTGAGGGTGGGGTGTGAGCGTGGTGAGCCGTGGTGAGGGTGGGGTGAGCGTGGTGAGCTTGGTGGAAGGTGGGTGAGCGTAGGGTGGGCGGGGTGAGGGAGGGTGAGTGTGGTGAGGGTGGGTGAGCGTGGTGAGGGGTGGGTGAGCGTGGTGAGGGTGGGTGAGCGGGTGGTGAGGGTGGGTGAGCGGTGGTGAAGCGGTGGTGAGGGTGGGTGAGCGTGGTGAGCGTGGTGAGGGAGGGTGAGCGTGGTGAGAGGAGGGTGAGCGTGGTGAGGGTGGGTGAGCGTGGTGAGGAGGGTGAGCGTGGTGAGGGAGGGTGAGGGTGGTGAGGGAGGGTGAGCGTGGTGAGGGAGGGTGAGGTGGTGAGGGTGGTGAGCGTGGTGAGGGTGGGTGAGGGTGGTGAGGGTGGTGAGGGGTGGGTGAGCGTGGTGAGGGTGGGTGAGGGTGGGTGAGGGTGGTGAGCGTGGTGAGGGTGGGTGAACGTGGTGAGGGAGGGTGAGCGTGGTGAGGGTGGGTGGGGGAGGGTGAGGGAGTGTGAGGGTGGGTGAGGGTGGTGAGGGTGGGTGAGGGTGGTGAGGGAGGGTGAGCGTGGTGAGGGAGGGTGAGCGTGGTGAGGGTGGGTGAGGGTGGTGAGGGTGGGTGAGCGTGGTGAGGGTGGGTGAGCGTGGTGAGGGAGGGTGAGCGTGGTGAGGGTGGGTGAGCGTGGTGAGGGTGGGTGAGCGTGGTGAGGGAGGGTGAGCGTGGTGAGCGAGGGTGAGGGTGGGTGAGCGTGGTGAGGTGGGTGAGCGTGGTGAGGGAGGGTGAGGGTGGTGAGGGACGGTGGCGAGTGGTGAGCGAGGGTGAGGGTGGTGAGGGAGGGTGAGCGTGGTGATGGTGGGTGAGCGTGGTGAGGGTGGGTGAGCGTGGTGAGGGAGGGTGAGCGTGGTGAGGGTGGTGAGGGTGTGAGCGTGGTGGGAGGGTGAGCGTGGTGAGCGAGGGTGAGCGTGGTGAGGGGGGTGAGGGTGGTGAGGGAGGGTGGGCCTGGTGAGGGTGGGTGAGCGTGGTGAGGGAGGGTGAGCGTGGTGAGGGAGGGTGAGCGTGGTGAGGCAGGGTGAGCGTGGTGATGGTGGGTGAGCATGGGTGAGGGAGGGTGAGCGTGGTGAGGCAGGGTGAGCGTGGTGCTGGTGGGTGAGCGTGGTGAGGGAGGGGAGCGTGGTGAGGGAGGTGAGCGTGGTGAGGGTGGGTGAACGTGGGGTGAAGGGGAGGGTGAGCGTGGTGAGGGTGGGTGAGCGTGGTGAGGGTGGGTGAGCGTGGTGAGCGAGGGAGGGTGGGTGAGCGTGGTGAGGGTGGTGAGCGTGGTGAGCGTGGTGAGGGTGGGTGAGCGTGGTGAGGGTGGGTGAGCGTGGTGAGGGTGGGCGAGCGTGGTGAGGTTGGGTGAGCGTGTGGGGTGGGTGAGCGTGGTGAGCGGGTGAGCGTGGTGAGGTGTGGTGTGAGCGTGGTGAGGATGGTGAGCGTGGTGAGGGTGGTGAGCGTGGTGAGGGGAGGGTGAGCGTGTGAGAGGGTGGTGATGGTGGGTGAGCGTGGTGAGGGAGGGTGAGCGTGGTGAGGGAGGGTGAGGGTTGGTGAGGGAGGGTGAGGGTGGGTGAGCGTGGTGAGGGAGGGTGAGCGTGGTGAGGGGTGGGTGAGCGTGGTGAGGGTGGGTGAGCGTGGTGAGGGTGGGTGAGCGTGGTGATGGAGGGTGAAGCGTGGTGAGGGAGGGTGAGGGTGGTGAGGGAGGGTGAACGTGGTGAGGGAGGGTGAGCGTGGGTGAGGGTGGGTGAGCGTGGTGAGGGAGGGTGAGCGTGGTGAGGGTGGGTGAGCGTGGTGAGCGAGGGTGAGGGTGGGTGAGCGTGGTGAGGGTGGGTGAGCGTGGTGAGGGTGGGTGAGCGTGGTGAGGGTGGGTGAGCGTGGTGAGCGTGGTGAGGGTGGGTGAGCGTGGTGAGCGTGGTGAGGGTGGGTGAGCGAGGGTGGGCGTGGTGAGGAGGGTGAGTGTGGTGAGGGTGGGTGAGCGTGGTGAGGGTGGGTGAGCGTGGGTGAGGGAGGGTGAGCGTGGTGAGGGTGGGTGAGGTGGTGAGGGAGGGTGGAGCGTGGTGAGGGATGGTGAGCGTGGTGAGGGAGGGTGAGCGTGGTGAGAGCGGGTGAGCGTGGTGAGGGTGGGTGAGCGTGGTGAGGCAGGGTGAGCGTGGTGATGGTGGGTGAGCGTGGTGAGGGTGGGTGAGGGTGGTGAGGCAGGGTGAGCGTGGTGAGGGTGGGTGAGCGTGGTGAGGGTGGGTGAGGAGTGGTGAGGGTCGGTGAGGGTGGGTTGAGCGTGGTGAGGGTGGGTAAGGGTGGGTGAGGGTGGTGAGCGGGTGAGGGTGGGTGAAAGTGGTGAGGGTGGGTGAGCGTGGTGAGGGAAGGTGATTGGAGGTGAGCGTGGTGAGGGATGGGTGAGGGTGGTGAGGGAGGGTGAGGGTGGGTGAAGCGTGGTGAGGGTGGGTGAGCGTGGGAGGGTGGGTGAGCGTGGTGAGCGTGGTGAGGGTGGGGAGCTGGTGAGGTGGTGAAGGTGGTGAGAGAGGGTGGGCGTGTGGTGAGGGAGGGTGAGTGGGGTGAGGGTGGGTGAGCGTGGTGAGGGTGGGTGAGCGTGGTGAGGGTGGGGTGAGCGTGGTGAGGGTGGTGAGCGTGGTGAGCGTGGTGAGGGTGGGTGAGCGTGGTGAGCGTGGTGAGGGAGGGTGAGCGTGTGAGGGAGGGTGAGCGTGGTGAGGGTGGTGTGAGCGGGGAGGGAGGGTGAGCGTGGTGAGGGAGGGGAGGGTGGTGAGGGGGTGAGCGTGGTGAG